ATCAATGTTAACAAATCTTGTACAATAGTTAAACCATCACTCTCAAACGTACCAAACTAAAGGAATAATTTTATTGATCAATGTTAAACAAATCTTGTACAATAGTTAAACCATCACTCTCAAACGTACCAAACAAAGGAATAATTTTATTGATCAATGTTAAACAAATCTTGTACAATAGTTAAACCATCACTCTCAAACGTACCAAACAAAGGAATAATTTTATTGATCAATGTTAAACAAATCTTGTACAATAGTTAAACCATCACTCTCAAACGTACCAAACAACTCCAAACGAGGAATAATTTTATAAATCAGTGTTTAACCAAATCTTGTACAAACATTTCGCCATCATTCTCAGTTATACGGAACACTCCAGCCCAGAAATAATTATTATACTAATGTTTTGACCGATCCTCTAAAAAACGTTCATCTTCCAACAGAAACCCGCCATTTTTAAATAAAAGTTGTTCGTCTATATTGGAGCATCCGTTATTTTTCTGAAACAAAATATTGAGTTTCTAGATTTCTATGTTGACTTTATTATACCGTGTTTAGTGTTTTATATAACTTTGACATCGTGTGTGGGCTAGTTATCGCCGATTCTTCCTAAAGCTGTAGTATGATAGACATGTTCGATCCTATTATCCAAAGCCTTCAGGCTCTTCCACATCAGTTTGATGCAACCAATACCGTGGAAGGCTCACAGAACCCTTGACTGAACAACAATGTACTAGATTAGACTCATTCAAAATTTTGCACGAGCTAAATCCTCACTACTATGAAAACAAAAGGTTTCGACATGATATGTTATATATAATAGGGGAGAGGGGAGAGACAACAGTAGAACACACAAAACAGTAATACACATTCCAGTGTACTGGGCATCAATGTATAACGCTTCAAGTAAACTCCAATGCACCGCACTACTCTAAACCATATATACATATAGCAAACAGAACATTACACAAAAACAGCCGTATTGCACCAATTACTATATTTCATTACACTGCGTCATTCAATAACACCCTGTTCTCTTTTCAGCCTGTACAGCGAGAAAATGTTAATCAATGATGATGCATCATGAATTGTTAAATTGTTCACATTCCACACGCTACAGAATATAGTTCTAAAAAACAAACTATCTTATTCCTTCTGGGAAAATGATATCCGATCAAGCCGTTGATTAAGAGAGATTTAAATTTCGGAAAATGAAAATAAAACAAACCATCATTGTTCATCACGAAAAGTTTTAATTTCAGGCAAGTCTTAGAAATTTGCGATTTTGATCTCGCCACGCAACGAGCTTTTCAAATTAGAATAAGGCCAAGAAACTCTTGCATTTCTGTAGAAAAATGAATAAGTATTGTTTTTTTTTCTGTAGAAACCACGTGGTGCCTGCCGCGTGGCTGTTTGCTCCTTCTCACTTGCCTACTAAGAATTGGCTCTGAAGCTCGAGCTTGCCTAACGCCGGGCTCGTGTAGACCGTCTCAGAACGCGCACAGTGACAGCTTGTACTAGTCACGTTATCTGTGGATTCAGCAAGTGTCAGCACTGTTAGAAAACTTATATTGTTGAGTGCTGCGTGATAGAGGCTGGAAACTCTACTGGGACTTTGGAAGATAACATGTTTGTTTGTATTACTTTGTGCTGTTTGGTTTGGGGAGAGCTGACCTCGGGGTTGTCAGGTAAGTAGTGAAAACAATATAGATTAATCCACGGAGACCTTTTCAGGAAAGTCACTTAACCAAAGACTTGGTTATGATTTGTATCATTCGATGTTTTCAACTAAATTTGTTTCAATTAAAGTCTTTTAACCCAAATCTATATTATATGTTCTTTCGTCCATATAAGCTTATTTTTGTCAGATATAGTCATTTGTTACATAACATTAATCGCATTAATTAGCCACATTGGACTATCTGCTGTGTCCACCGCGGGACATCGGAACACAGATTTTAGCGTTGTAAGTCCGTAATATTACCGCTGACCCACTGAAGGACATATGTAGCGGGACTCGAGCCTTAATATGGCTGTGAACAGCCTCAAAAGACCTGTCAAGATACGTTTATGTTTTCCCTAGTAGGGAACGATAAGGAAGTCTATGATATAAATCAAAAGTAAATTCTAACAATGAGCTTTTGGAATAATATGAACTCACAAAAACATAATATATACATGAAAAGTGATCGTAAAAACACCGACTTGCCAGCTGTTTATAATGAATGAAAAAGGACAATGTAAGTTTTACTAACTGCACCCCGGGTGGAAGGAATTCCAGCGTTGCAATGGAGTTTTAATACATGGTAGAATACACACACAAGTATTTTACAAATACGTGTGTATTAAATCAAACTGTTTTTATTGAGTTTTTTCTTTGTATGTCTTGCATTTTTCATGTCTTTAACAAAAGTTTTGAAAAACTTACTACCACGTATGTTTTTACTCACAAGACAAGATGTTATTTGAGCTCAACTTAATTTTGCATAGATACAGACAACGATATGTTTTCAAAAGAAAATTCTTCTCTGATACATTGTTTCTTCATTGGTCCAACAAAAAATTCGAACACATAATTCGCTATCTGTAAGACGTTGACTTTGACATGAGTCTAGAATTTATTCTCTTAATCGTGAGAATTCAGTGTACATTAATTTAATATAGGCTGCGTTACTAGTGATATACGTTTGTGAAAGTGAAGGAAATTGGTTATAATTATTTTATAATGTTCTTAATTTTCATTCTCTGAGAAAGAGTAAACAATCTGTCGGTATTACCTTCTTCTTTGTAAAACTACATAACTTGACTGTTAGCTCGTTTTATCATTTGCTTACTGTAAAAAGAATAGACAGCTGAACCACAAAATATAAAAACTCATATATGTAAATAAGTATCTGTATCTTTATGTAAGTTTTAATATACAAGTTTAAACAGTGTCTTTAAAACGTCTATCACACAGTGCCTCAAAATCTGTGTTTAATTCAACAGATCTCGAATTAGAAGAGTTCAGGTTCGAAGCCATAATATTTACCATGATTTATTGCTGTAATATGTTTAAAGATTACAAGTTTAAAGATCAACATTATAACTATAAATATCTTCAAGATTTACACTCACTTAGCCGTGAGATATAACAATATCTAGATTGAGGAGTGAAATGCAATGTTCCAAGCAATGCATCGCCAATGAGAGATAAAGTTGGTGCAAAGACTGTCTTGATGAGTAAGTTTAGAAACTTATTTGAGAACCAGATGTCCATTTACATTTACATTCTTTGCACTGGAAACATTTGTATCGTGTCAAGAAATGTGAAATAAAAAGAAAAACATTTTCCATCTTAGACTCATCTGGGTCCTTTATCTGATTGTGAGCGTTGTGCATAACGAACCGTGCCCTTACTAGAATATGTGGCTGGTGTGTCGGGAAATAATAATAGCTCACTGTGAGCTTCCTTAAGATGCACACAGCACCATTAGAAAGGATTTTCCAGAAAACCAGTACCCTACTAGATAACCGCGTCTTGTCCAATCGATGTGAGACCATCTTCTCGCTAGTAACTTCTTATGATAAAAAAAAAAAGTCTTTGTGAAGGTTTCCCGGGTGTGGAGATCTCTGAGAAATCTTCAGCTACATTGACTAACTTTCAACTTAGAACAAGTACAAATTCCCTAAGTAAACCCTTTTTGAGATTTCCAGTTTCTCCTGGACGTACTTTTCAGACTTTTTTTTTATCAACTTGAGTAGTTCTTACGTTTGGATATTTCTTCTATCTAAGGACTTGCTTAACACTAGAAATAATGTTTTTTTTAGTCAAACTCTTTCAAAATCGAATTATCCATGAGTTTTTTACGGAGCCTGAAGTTCTGAGTTTGGAATAGTTCAGTATGAATAGCTTTTGTGTAAGAATACATAAGATAATAAATCATAATGAAAAATGGTGTCTCTTGAAGAAATAGAAAGACAAATACATTTCTGCCAAATTAAACACTATATTTTACATATACAGACGTAGCATGTTCGAGCAACTTTATAGTGCATGGTTAAATTTTTGAGGATGTACAATGGTGTAAAACTGATGATGACAATCAACACAAATAATATTTTTTGTCGGTTCCTTTTGTAGCTAGCTCTCTGTATTTAATTACTACTCAGTGGTAAAGTTAAAGACCAATAACTTTGGTCTGAACCAGTGGTAAAGTCAAGGACTAACAATTATGGCCTGAACCAGTGGTAAAGTCAAAGACTAAAAATTATGGCCTGAACCAATGGTAAAGTTAATAACTAATAATTATGGCCTGAACCAGTGGTAAAGTTAAGAACTAATAATTATGGCCTGAACCAGTGGTAAAGTCAAGGACTAAAAATTATGGCCTGAACCAGTGGTAAAGTCAAGAACTAATAATTATGGCCTTAGTTCTTAACTTTACCACTGGTTCATTATGGCCTAAACCAGTGGTCAAGTTAAGGACTAAAAATTATGGCCTAAACCAGTGGTCAAGTTAAAGACTAAAAATTATGGCCTGAACCAGTAGTAAGCACAACACAGATAACCTATTGTAATTTCCCGCTTAAAATACAGACAAACAGACACGTTTTCATTCGACACCAATAGTTGTTAAACGACTCATATTTTAAGTGGATTTTTTATTTTCATGGTTTTTGTTAGTATTTAGAAATCTTTTACAAATAAAAACTAAAACTTTTAAAGAGAGAGAGTAACTACCGCAGTGTATAAAAATAGCATTAACTAAATCGTATAGTGTCAAACCTTGGTTTGTTTATGGTAATAATTGTGTTGAAACATCACAGTTACACTTAAAATATTTGTTATACTTAACTAATAGGTGTCCTATTGCAGTTTCAGTAATATTATGTTAAAATCTACCTCGTCTTTTCTTGACGAGACCTTTCGCGCGATATCAGAAATAATCTAGCTCGTCTATAATTCGGTGTTTTATGCACAACTAATACAATGGCGTTTTGACTAGACCTGCATTGTAGCCCAGCTGGTCTGATAAACTACTGTATTGAGCGGCACGCTACTCTAGCAGCGACGTAGTTACAAAACACAAACTGTAACTGATATGAAGTTATACCTTCTTCTTCCAAGAAATAGTCATTGCGTGGGTTAAAAGTAAATACACTAAGTTATTTATTTATTTGCGAACACGTGTATTATATATATTTCTTTTCCTCAAAATAATTAATCCTTATAAAATAGGTATATCAGAGTGTCAACAGAATTCAATTTCAAGTTACTAAGTAGCTTTAAAAAAAACATCAGCGTGTACAACAAACCCCAATATCACAAATAGATAGATATTTCATTTCCATTTGAAAAACAAACAGATATATACAGCTTGGCACAAAATTAAAACCTAGCACACGCACACAAATATATATTTAAAGAGAATGCAGAGCATGTGTAAATATATTATAGCTGACAAATACAAAACTTGACAGAATATCATAGACAACATCATAAATTTAAATCTGCATAAGTGATGATCAGAAACCAAACTGTTGCAGTAAACAAACTGTTGCAGTAAACAAACTGAAAACAAACTGTTGCAGTAAACAAACTGAAACCAAACTGTTGCAGTAAACAAACTGAAAACAAATTGTCGCAGTAAACAGACGATCGAATATTTCTTTCTCAACCATTGTTTTACATGTTTCTATAGGCAGTTTTATTCTTCTGAAAGGCCGTATTTTATAGCCAAGTAACATGATACGCCTATTCTCATAAATGTTTGTTTTGGGAATTCGCGCAAAGTTACGCAAGGGCTATCTGCACTAGGTGGCCCTAATTATGAATTAATAATCAGTTAATCAACGGCACCTACCACCAAATCTCAGGGTACTCTAATCGAATAATGGGATCTAACCGTCGTCACTCTTATGGTGCACCCGGAATAATGGGATCTAATCGTCGTCACTCTTATGGTGTACCCGCGCTGGACAGGTTTTTTTTTTCGGTAACGGGACGCTAAACAAGGACCGTCGGATTTACAGTCCGGCACAATAACCATGAAGCTACGCTAAACCATAGTTATAACTGATACTTTTTGCTAATATGAAAATCAATGAATAATTTTGGCAGCCTCTTTATAGCTTGCATAAAACTTTTTATGTGTAACTTACTAACCAATATGTAGAAATAAATCTATATATTCGATCCATTAACATATTCACATATATGTAAAGAGAGAGACTGATTACTAAAAGCTACTATCTATACAGTACAGAACTGGAATAAACTCAAGCTAATTCTAAAGTACATTAATTCACTTAATTCTGCGAAAACACCAAAGTTTCCGTGAAAGGAATCTTTCATAACTTAAGCTTCGAGGTTTAGCGACTGAAGCTTTTGTGTTATTTCAGCCAGTCATTCAAGCTCATTCAATTCATCTCTTTCAACTTATCAAAGGAAGCCTTCTTTTGTAAAAATCTGAAGAGAACAACGCCTAGAACACGAACGATGATCGTGGCTCATTGACACCAAACTGCATATAGAGTAAGTATAACTATCAAGCGAAGGGTGAAATATACTAAGATCGAAATACTATGACTCTCTTCAGGTAGCCAAATGTCCCATCATCTAATTAGTGACTCGCATGAATGGATTAACGAGATTTACACTGTCTCTATCTACTGTTTCTCTCTAGCGAAACCGCAGCCAAAGAAA